TAATATTTATTTGATAGTTGTGTCTTAGTCCTTTGAGGCTGCTAAAACAAAATACCAAAGACTGGGAGACTTATGAATAACAAATTTATTTCTCACAGTTCTAGAGGCCAGGAGTCTGAAATTAGGGTGACAGAATGATCCAGTGAGGGCTTTCACCTGGTGGAAGGGCTAAGGGATCTCTCTGGAGCCTCTTTTATGAGGCACTAATTCCATTTATAAGGGTTCCACACTATGGCCAACCACCTCCCAAAGGTCTCATTTGCTAATAGCATCACCTTTTGGAACATAAGATTTTAACATATGAACGAGGGAGACACAATCCTTGGGACTATAGCATTATGTAACTGGACATTTCAAATTTATAAATTTCCTTCAACTTATTTCACGACACTTAATATTATTTAATATATGGGCATTCCCAAACTGAATTTTGTTTTGTTTTTTGTTATTCCTTTTTCTTTTTCTGTCCCATTTAAAAAATTTTTTTCTTTAGTTATATTTGTCCCAACTGGATTTAAAAATTACATTTTTTTTAAGTTCATCACTAGAAATTTAGGTTTTGTTTCCCTATAGGAAAAAACATTACATCGTTCTTGTGTTTTGAATGAACTTATGTTCCAAGGCTAACCCATAATTATTTAAATATATTAGAGACTTTTTGTTTTGAAAGTTAGAAGGAAATAATACCATTGCAATTTTAGTAATTAACAAAACCAAAGAAGTACAATCTTGAGCAGGAGGAATTATCATTAATCTGGTGTTTAAGGAAAAATTTATGTAATTTGAGAGTAGATCTTATTAGAAATTTAGGGAAAATCTGAAAGAGGTCTCTGGATTTCATTTAACTAATTTACTTAAATTATATGTATATGCATACACATATACAAATGAATCAAACCCTAGTCTCTCCTTTACTGGCCTCAAGGTATTCTTTTATTTGGTTTGTCTTTTTGGTTTTAGGGGTGTGTTTTTGGAGGAAGTCTGCTAGGAAGTCCTAAAATAGAATGGAGAAAAGACTGATGTTATCTAGTAATTCTTAGAAAAGAAGCATGTTGGAGACCAGAAGAAGATGAGGAAATTTGGGGTGGGGGCAGAGGGCTGGATTTAAGTTTAAAAAAAAAATTTTTTTATAAACGAGTTGCTACATTGTTTTTGCAAATAAATAGTAATAAAATAGAAAGTCAATTGATAGGTTATACTTAAAAGATGTGTAAGTGTGGAGTAAAATATATAGTTAAGTGAGATTATAGATGACTTTTTGGTTAATTTATGATAAATTAACAATCTTATATGAGTCAGTAATAGTGTACTTGAAAATTTGTTTGATACTAGGTAACATAGCATTTCTTTATTTGAATCAATTGTTCTTATACCTTTTGTGGGTTCATATGCTGCTATAGATAAATAAATGTTAGAAGATTGTGTATAGTTAATTATAGTTTTGTGTTCTTTTTAGAGCAAATGGGATGAAATATTAAGAAACAGGCTAGACATTGGGGAAAATTTCCATTTATGAATCTTAAAACAGAAAATTGATAAAATGTTTTCTGGAAACTAAATTATTTTAGGATATGTCTTTCTCTAAGTTTCATTGATCCTTGCTGGATCTTGAAGTTTTATAATTTTTCTTAATTCAATGATATGTTCATATCAAATTTTTATCAATTATTTAAAAGTTTTCTATTATAAGTAGATTAAGGTTCAGTGAATTAAACAGTAGATCAGAGTCTATATACAAATCATGGGTTACAATGAAACATAAGCTTGGAGCCTCACTTCAGAGTGCTTACCATTTGCTTAAAGGAAATAGCTCATGTGAAATAATAGAGATAAAACTTTTGTAACTTTTTTAGTAACTTCTTTTTACTACTCAAAATTTAGAGTATATCATCCCAAAGTAACCTTTAGGATTTAATCTAATTTTGGTAACGATGTATGTACCAAATCTAATGTTTGTGGCCTTCTCCTACTGCTCTATATATGAATTGAAAATGCCCTACCGTGGCCAGAGGCGAGGCTTTCTCCCAGATAGAAGTGACCCCCGTATCCATTGTTACTCTGTTGAGCCCTACCTCCACCCTTCCAACCCCCGTATGAAGATGCAGGCGCTACCATAGCTGAAACATCATCAAACTAGATAACAGAGATCGCTCTATCCAGAAGATTCCCTGAAACTGACTCATGGCCCCACCCAAGCCACATCCAGTTGCATCTTCTGAGAGGCCGGTGCTCCTTCATGAGCCAACTCCAAGACTCACACTGGAAGCAGCTGACCTCGGTTTCTGGTGTGGCCTCTTGTGACAACTATAAGTACATCATCATCTGTAGATTGCTTGCTGAATCTTAACAGGTAGCCCCGAAGGGACACAGGCTGGGTCTAAAATGGGCCTGCTGCTGAACACCTCTCAGGACTGTGCCTCTGGACACCTACTACACAAAGCCACTCTAATAAGACAAGGAGATTTAGGAGCTTTGCTTAGTACATTGAAACAACCAAAATGAGAAGACAAAGAAGCAGACACCATGTGAGAGAACAGAACAGAGCTTTAGGAATAATGGAGTTAAGCAATCTAACAGATGCAGAATTCAAAACTCTGATTATAAAGATGCTCGGTGAACTTAGGGGAAGTGTAGGTGAATTCAGTGAGAACTTTAACAAAGAGATAAAAAACATAAAAATGGAAATTATAAAAGGGAACCAGTCAGAAATGAAGAACACATTATCTGAGATGAGTATATTAGAGAGAATCAACAGAGTGGATAAAGAAGAGGACTGAATCACCAGTATAGAGGATAGGGAAGCCAAGGGCACTCAGTCAGAATGTCAAGAAAAAAGAAGCCAAGACTATAATAATAATTTAAGGAGCCTATAGGACAAAATTAAATGTTGTGTCATAGGGGTATCTGAAGGGAGAACAAGAAGCTGAAGAGCTATTTGAAGAAATAATGATGGAAAACTTCCCTAATCTGGTGAAGGAAATAGACATACAACTCCAGGAAGCTCAGAGAGTCCCCAGAAAAATGAACCCAAAGAAGCCCACACCAAGACACATCATAATTAAAATTCCAAAGGTTAAATACAAAAAGAGAATCTTAAAAGTAGCAAGAGAAAAACAGTTAGTTACCTACAAAGGAGCACCCATAAGACTTGCAGCTGATTTCTCAAAAGAAACTATGCAATATTCAGCATGATGAATACCCAGGATCTACAACCAAGAATACTTTATCCAGCAAAGCCATCCTTTAGAGTTGAAGGACAGATATAGAGCCTCTCAGACAAAAATAAGCTAAAAGAATTCATCACCACCAAGCTAATATTACAGAAAATGTTGGAGGGACTTCTTTAAGAAGAAAAAACATATATCAAAAACAGGAATAAAGAACGGTAGTAACTACATTCCTATCAACAAGGACCTCAAATGGAAAAGAATTAAGTGCTCCAACCAAAAGAGAGTGGCTGAGTGGATAAGAAAACAAGACCCCTACATATGCTGCCTACAAGAGACTCACTTCAGATTAAAAGACACACAGACTAAAAGGAAGGGGATGGAAAAAGATAGTACCTTGATGGACCTAGAGGCCATTGCGTTGAATGAAGTAAGTCAGATAGAGAAAGACAAATAGCACATGATTTCATATACATGTGGGATTTAAAGAACAAAATAACAACAAAAATGGAAACAAACTACAGAGAATATTTTGAAGGCTACCAGATGGGAGTGGGGTTGGGAGGGATGGTGAAAAAGGGTAAAGGGATTAAGTACAAATGGATAGTTACAAAATAGACATGGAGATATAGAGTGTAGCATAAGGAAAATAATTAATAGTGTTGTAATAAATACGTAAGGGGGAAGAAGGGCACTAGATTTAGCGTGGTGATCACTTAGTGAATTATATAAATCTCTAATCACTATGCTGTACAACTGAAACTAATATGTTCTTGTATGCCAACTATAATTGAAAAAAAAATTCATTGAATTGTACGATGTAAATATGAGCAACTAATCATCTATTATATTTCAATAAAGCCAAAAAAAAAAAAAAAAAAGAAATGAAAATGCCATGCCCGGCAGGAAGATTGTGAGTTGTGAAAGACTTGTGAATGATTAAGGTCAGAAAGTCCCAGGCCAACTTAATGGGGGAATAAAACAACTTATTTAGAGGGATGCCAGTAAAATGCTCAAACTCCCAAGTTTTTAGAACAGGTTATTTAGAAGGAGGAGGAGGAGGAGAGCATATTTCTGTAATATTTCTGTAACACTAGAAATGAGAAGACAATGGAACAATCTCTAAACTATTGAGAGAAAAGGACTGCAGATAAAAATTGTACTTAGTCAAAAATGTCAAGGCAGAAGACAGATTTTTAGAAATGCAAGGAATACCAACTGTGAACCTCAAATTTTAAAAGAATCAACTTGAAATATTCTACTAGGTGAAAATTGAAGCATAATGTACTTCTGAAAATAAAGGAAATAAGAGTAAGAAACAAATGCAGTTTTATAGGAAATCTGTGCAATATTATAATTACAATATTATAAGTAGTTAAATCTGAATGTATGGAATTAGTCAACCTTTGTTCTGCTTTTGTATCCCTTTCCACCTCATCCGAGTCTCAATTCATACTCCAGACTCCCGCTCCCCTGCATTTTTTTTTTTTTACTATTGTTTCAGTGGATTTTTAGGAAGAAGATGAGGTAAAAGCATGTGCTCAGTCTAAAATCTTGATTTAGAAACTCTGTTTTAAAATTGCTGTACTTTTTACCACATAAGGTTATTGTGAAAAGTTGTTGGTCACAGTTCTTATTGTAAGCAACAAATCAGCTATGGCAGATTTAAACAAACAAACAAAAAGACTTCGCTGACAGGATACTGGGTGACTGACTCATAGGATCTTTGGGATGGCTCACTTGACTGGCTAGAAATTGTACAAAAATTCGCAGTAACAGTACTGTATCTTAATTTAGAAGTAAATTGCCTCTTTCTTCTTTTTTCAAATATAGGTTATATATTTGGGGAGAACTCCAGAAGAAGCATATAGAATTTTAATATTTGGAGATACATCTTATATTCCTTTCAGGTAAATATAAGAATGATGTGGTAGATTCATTTAATCAGTCCCTTGCCAGAAATATCTTGGTTTTTTTGTTTCTCAAAAAAGAAGACCTACCTGGTAAACAGTCATTTTAGAGTGGGTGCAAATAACACCATAGATCTAGCAACAGTAACACTATTGATATTTTGTTGTGGGGTGCTACCCTATGTAATGCAGGGTGTTCGGTAGTATACCTGGATTCTGCCCACTAGATGCCAGTAACACCTCCATCCCCATAACAATCGTCAGAACCAAAAATGTCTCCAGACATTGCCAGATGTCCTTGGCGGTGGAATTGCTCATATTTGCAAACTGCTTCCCTTAATGGAATGATCAGATGAGAATCCTTGACTTACGGTACTCAAAACTATCATTGGGGAGTCTAGTTGCTGAGGAGTTAAGAAAGAAATTTTCCCAATAGTCAGGAGTCAATTTCTGGGGCAAAAACTAACCTTTTTTTCCTAAGGACATAGCCAGCAAAGATAGTGGATGAGGTTGCTATTGTAACACCCCTACCAGAAAAACCAAACTGTTGTGTTATAGAGGTGCTAGATAAGTAATGTCTTTATATAAAAGGATGATATCCTCATCTTCTTCTCAGACTTCATATGTGATCATTTTGAAATATTTTGAAATAATTTGGGGTTTCTTCTTTAAATCAGATTAAGCTCTAAAAGGATTCTTGACCCACTTACCAAAGTACTTGACTTAGCTACATAATCTAAATACTTGCATGATGCTGAATGTGTAATAAATGTGTGAAATAATTCTACTCATTGCATCATTTCAAATATGTAATTTCAAATATTGCATCATTCTTCCACTCACAAATTAGTAGTTTTAGGATTATCACATATACCTTGAATGCTTGATTTTGAAAGGGTATGGTCTTTCTTTTAAAATGTAAGGTATAAATTTGACTTCTTTGTATACAAGCTTTGGGATGGGTCTCCCTAAACCTTAGGAAGAATCTCCTTCTTAATGACTTCGTGGAACTGCCCATGGACTTACTCCATGAAATAGAGATTTTTCAGGACAATCTGCAGAGATCAGTTATATTGCACTTAAGTATATTAGTGATTCAGCAAATTAGAATTGCTTTGAACCCCATATCATGCCCTTCTTAGCGCATGGATCACCTAAAGTATTCTGTTATTTGAGGTGGGTAGGAAGGGATGAAGATTATTTTCCAAACTGGTTTTTTCTTCTCGACCTAAAATATAATGGCAACCATGTAATTCCTTCAGAAGAAAAAACTTGTATTTGTGGTCCCTGAGTGACAGGCTCATTAGTATACAGGGATAATTCTGTTATATTGAACGCCTCTTTATATTGGTAATCCTTTATAATATAGTACCATTCTTAAAGTTTATAGCATAAGGTCCTGAAATATGTATAAGCTCATATTATTTCACCTAATTCAAGTAAGGATCTATGAAATATTGATGATTTAAAAGAAAGTTTATGTTAATTTAAATACAGGGGCCAAAAATAGAATAAATGTTGCTTACTGCTATGCCTGTGTTTAAAAATTTATTGAAGTTTGACCCTAAGGAATAAAGTTAGTTACTTCTGGTCCCAGGAGCAGAAGTCAGTAATTCTCTAATAAACAGTACTTAGCTAGGGCTGTGAAATTTGAATCTCTCAGTCACAGATACTTGATTTATCTAAAGCATTGTTTCCTAAAGTGGGGCCTATGAAATAGGCTAGAGTATTTCAACTTGTTACCAGCCTGTGATGAGGTAAGTATAGGAATTGAGAGTAAGATTTTAGAGACTTTTATAGTAATTTAATAGAGTATACTTATGTCTGTGAAATCAAATAATAGAAGAATTTGGGCTCGTATTTTTGTTTTTTCTTTCCATTTTTCTAGTAATTCGTTTTTATTTATAAAAAATAAAATAATTGCAGTATGTGGGTATGTAACAGTACCTGATATTATTGTATTTTATGAAAGTTTCAATTTATGACATTTAAAAATCTGATGCTTTACCACATTATACTGTTCTAATAGAACTTAGTGATTAGAAAGTAGGCCAATAAGAATTAATAAAGACTGATAATACTTTGAAAAAAATGCATTATAGCCTTTTATCCTCACCACTTCAAATGCATGGACTAAATATAACTTAAAGCATTGTTAACAAGGGATCGTGCAGGAATAGCGTTCATTTATGGTTAATAACTACTAATGCTCCATAGCAACATTTAATTAATTTAATTCAACTCAAGTATTCTTCTGAGTTTACATATGTATATACACATACATGTAGGGTTTCTTAATGAATTATTAGCTATTTCTCTGCTAGTCTCAATGAAAAAATTGTATAAAATATAGTTCAACATTTTCTTGATACTTTTGGATTATTGTTATAAAGAGTGTATATTTCTATTCTTTATTACCTAGAATACTCCTTTGCTTATTTCTTTGTTTGTTTGTTTGGGGGGAGGTCTCTGCTCTATTTTCTTGAGAGGTGGTATTGCATGGTTGTTAATAGCTTAGCTACTGACATTAGACAGATGGAAGGAAGTTTGACACTTGGCTCTGCCACTAATATCTCTGGTTTTTTACAAGTGTGAGCTTTGGTTTCCTAGTCTGTTAGTGGGAATGACAGTTTTATATCCCTAATGGGGCCGTGAGGATTAAGTAACATCCTACAGATAAAACACTTGATATAGTGCCTGGTCCTTAGCTAACATTATTTGAACATTCATACTTTTTTTTTTTAGATGTGTAACTTACATATAATTTTAAAACTTTTACTTATCTTATGTCTATGACACAGTAAACTTTTACATGTGTGTATGCAATTACCATCCAGTTCAAGATATAGAACATTGCCTGCACCCAATGAAGATTCCTTGCAATCCCTTTCCAGTAGGTAACTCCTTCTCTCTCCCAAGTAACCACTACTATGACTTCTACCACCATCAGTTAATTTTTCTTGTCTTTGAACTTCATATAAATGGAATCATACAGTATGCATTTTGAAGAGCTGGGATCTAGCTTTTTCAAACACTATGAGATTTCTCCATATTGTGGCAGGTATCAGTAGTTCATTCTTTTTTTTTGGTAGCATTCCATTCTATGAATGTGCCATAATTATTCGCCCATTGTCCTTTTGATGGGTACTTTGCAGTTTTTGATTATGAATATAATTTTCTCTGAAAAATTATTTTTAAAAACTAGTATTTGACGTCGTTTTGCAGTTTCAAAGTGATACTCCTTCATCGATTCTCATCCAGTTTTCTAAGTTTGTTAAACGACCATAGTGCCGAGACTCCCTTCCCCCAAAGGCTTACATCCAGATTTATAGCTGCTACTCTGCTGTTTTGAAGAAGCCTGATTGCTTGGGTAGGAGGAAGGAGGTGTTAATGAAATAAACATGAGTGAATGAAGTAAGATTCTTGTTGTCTATTCAGATAGTGTGACTATAAGGCAGAACTGTAGCTAAGACCAGTTCAAAGCTTGTTGAATCATCACTGATTAGAGCAGGGCTTGGCCCACAGTGGCTTCTCAAAAAATATGTATGGAATAAATGTATTAAGTTTTCACAAAGGCTGGATCGACATGCCTTAACTTGATTGGAAAAGAATTATCAATAGTTTAAGAAGATAATAATCCTAGCTAACTGAGGAGACAATGGTTAAAAACATTGGGAAAGAATGTGAGAGATCACCCTACTGTTACTGATAATTTTGGTTTTGATTTAGACTAAACTACTTCATTTTCTTTTAACTTAGCTTTTCTTTCTAAAAATGTTCCTTATTTCATGAAAAAAATTATTTCTACAAAACTAGTGTTTGTGTTGATTCTGTAGGTCAGTGATTCTTAAACTGAAATACATCACGATCACCTAGAGGACCTGTTAGAACAAAAATTCCCTTGCCCCACTCCTAGAACTTCTGACCCAGCAGGGCTTGGGTGGAGCCTGAGAACTGGCCATTCTAACTGTCTGAGTGATGCCAATGCTGCTGACCCAGGGACCCCATTCTGAGAACCACTGCTGCAGGTCATTTTGTTTTCCCCTTCCTGAATATTGTCAATAAGCTATTGGTAAAATAGAGACCTTTTCCAGCTTTTAGGAGAGAAAATTTTAAATTCAGAAGCTTGCAAAAGAAAAATGACGTGTTGTAAGACCTTGTTTGCAGTCCTCATCAAGGCTGACATATGGCATACCTTAGTAATTCTAACCAATTCAGACAGTAACGTCTAAAACTGTTTTAGCTGAGATGTATGCCCTGGCTTTCCCTCATTGTTAGTTTAGTGTTGCTCTAATTATCTACATGCTTAAGGTTTATGCAAGATTTAAAAATTTTAAATGTACAGTTTAATTTTTCAGGTAAATATTATTACAATGTGAAAACCCAACCAAGGCAGGCAGTTGATTGCTCCAGTAGCTACTTTGTTCCACCTAGGGATCGAGTAGGTACCATTCAGATAGGCACAGTTGTTTGGCATGTCTAGAATGATCATAATTAATTTTATCTTGCCTAATTCCAAAAATTTTAACTTCGTAATGGCTCAAGATAGTCAAAAAGGAGAAGCAGGTGTGAGTTGGAGGTGTGTCTTATTTTTCTGGGAAAAATCTGAACTGATATTAAGAGACGTGTAGTGAGATTACTGATAAGTGTTGTGCAGTGTTGGGGGGTGGTTGCCTGCAGACTAACTTAAGTACCTTCCCAAGTGTAGAGTGATTCTACTAAAGGTAGTTGACGCCTTAGTTCTTGTGGTGTTATTGGTCTTTAAGAATCAGAAAGAAGTTATCCAGTTAAATTGTTAAAAATTGTAAAAGCATAATGAGGGAGCAAAATGATTTTTAGCTTGCACCCAGTATTTCAATATTTCAAATAATATATATTTTTTTCTACTTGGATGGAGATACACACACACACACACACACACACACACACACACACACACACACACACACTGTATATGTATATACAGAATCAAAAAGCAGTCTTTCCTTGTAACAGTTTGATATGGTATTTTCCATTATGAAGAAAAAATCCAAAAGCCTTGCCCTTTGAGGGGCAGGGGGTCCATATTATTGATTAGTTGAACTGGAGAAGCAACTCTAGAAGTTCAGCCATCAAAGCCAAAAATAATCCAGGAAGATCATTTAAAATTTAGAAAGTGGTCTTCATTGATCCACGTAAATAGTATCTATAAAACGGTATCTACTGGAGTAGGTAGAAACTGCAATAAAATTTGTAACAGTGACATATCTTTTATTTAAAAACCAAACAACAGGAATTCTTTTTTTCTTTTTTGATACTTGCTCTGAATATGTGTTTGATTTTAAATTCTAGCCAGCTTTGTCTTGAGGTAAGTGTACTGTGAAAAATTAAATTAACTGAGCTAAGTATTTCAATAATTTTGTGATTTCAGAGATGCTGCCTATGGGAGTTGCAGTTACTACATTACACTTCTTGACTGTTTTCACGCAGTGAAGAAGGTAAGTGACTTGCAGGATATGCCCACTGATGTGTTGGAGTACTAAAGTACAGTCCAAGGAAGACTACGCTTTCTCCCCCTGAGATCTTCTAAGATCTGCATGATGTCAGAGGTATCCCATTTCCCCACTAATGTTAGACTGATAAAAATCTCAAAAACAATTTATTTGGGATCTGAGTGCTTCTCGGTGGGAGTTGGGGGAAAAGCCACTTGAACAACAGGGGACAATCAGAGACCATCAGAACCTATGTAATTAGGTTCTAAATCTAGAATTGGTTTTGAAGTGTGTTGTGATTTCATAGAAAAACAGAAAGGAAACTGATTACTGATTCCAAGTTCTCTTTGATTTAGGTACTTTTTGGATCTGGTTCCCACCAATCCTATTTATAGCAGACATTTTTATAACTCAATAACTGGCAAACACTTCGTTTTTGTATCCTCAAGCAGTCAATTTCTAATTCAGCAAAATTGGAATAGCGTGTTAATTTGTTTATTAGGTTTTATGTAATACTAAGTAGGTCACTACTGCTTCGTCAGAGCTATTTTAAAATAATGCCTGTGTTTTATAACCAAGGCTGCTCACTGTCTTTGACTCCAAGGGACACCCTTCACATCACATTCCAAATGAACAGGATCCATCCCCTGGAGTTGTATGACATAGCAGACCCTGGTTATAACACTCATTCCCTTGGGTATATTTCTTGGCTGTCAGGGCAACACAAGAAACTAGAATTGTAAATCAGTAGCCCATGGATCAATAAGACGTTACCAGCATCTCAAGTTTTTTTGTAATGTGTTTTCAGAGGCAAAAGGAACCCAGGTTTACTTTCTTGTATAATGAAACATGATGGCTTTCTGAGAATTTTGACAGAAATTTTATGGATTAAAATGAGAGGACTAATTAGTATACAAATGCAGAGATTAATTAATATACCATTTAAAAATCCTGTATTCAGCATTGAGGTATGGGATTTAATTCTTTTGAGTTTGAGTCTACATGACTCTGATGTGTGGCGCAGACTGAGGTAGTCACTGCAGGCTGTGAGGTAACTGCATCAGGCCTCAGTATGGGCAGGTAATGGGCAGAGGAGGCCATCAGAAGACAAGGGACCACAGGTATAAATTATCCCTTCTGGTTGCAGTTATCATCCCTGTCTAATGGACCCCGGGAACTGCTGATGTAGACAAACATACTATACTGACCCTGGGGCTCCCTTCTCTCCACTCCCAACACCTTTAAAAAAAGAGCAGAAAAACTTTGAGGGCCTGGGAAATGGTCTTCTATAACATTGTATAACTTTCTATTGTTATTTCTTGGCTTAGTTTTTGTGTTTGTGTTTTTCTTTTGTTTTTTTTGTTTTTTTAATCAGATAAATATAAAGTCTAATTAGCTGGAACTACAGGTCAAAGATTGCTCTTTTTACACTATATTTAATTTTATTCAAGAGTCAACAGCTTCTGATTTTCAATTTAGACATTTCTTATTTGTGACTGATTTAGAATATTGCATACCTGAAACATTTGTAAATGTAATTGTCTTAACTTTAGTGCTGCTTCTGATAGGATCTCCATATGAAATTCAAAGGAGAATAGAAATTTTCTATAAACTGCATTTTATTCTATCATTCTGTTTAGAACATCTCTAGTCCAAATATCATAACACGTATTGAGTATTTTGAATTCAAGGAAATAAAATTCATAGATTTGATCTTGGAATTAGAACTTAAATATCTATATTTCATAAAATGAGGACTTTGGTATTATAGCATTTCGTATTTTTTCATTCATATTTCAGTACTTTAAAATTTGAAAACAGGGTTTACAAAGTCACCCTTTTTGAATCAAGATTACCTTGTTGATCAAAACTTCTTACTTATATACTATCTGGCTCACAGCACACTTCTCAGAGGCCCCAAGCTTGTGCTCATCTCAGAAAACAGATCCTCTGCTTATTTCACTTAGCATGCTTTGCCCACTACAACTCAGAGTGAGACTGCAGAAGAGAACAAAAAATTTGTGTATTTTTTGCTTATCGAAAGAAGAAAGTTTTTTCCTCAAAATTTTGAATTTTAAGTGTTGGTCCCTGGGCCATCTTTAGTAGAGAGAACATGAATCTCTCAATCTAAGACTGTTTAGACAAATTTGAAAGTAAAGATACTTGTGAAATGTGTGGGATTTGTTTGGGATAAACTGACTTTTCTCTTTATTATTTATTTAGGGACCATTGGGTTGTGCATTAAATTTGAAGCCTAGGTGGTATTAATCTAATAAATTAGCAGGGTAACTTTGAAGAATTGATTATTTAGCTCTGCACAAATAGGATGATTGTGAAGGAAAATAAAGCATCATATCTTGTTAAAATAAATACCATTATAACAGATTTTCCAGATAATGGAGCCTTTAAAAGACATATCCCACCCACCACCTTTGAAAACGATTCATGGGAACATTGTCTAAATATACCACTGCTTTTGAAGGCTACCTCTTGATATTTATTACTAGGAAATTGTTTCCTTATTTGTGTCTTTGTTCTGAAAAGATTTCCTTTGGATTTTAGGCAATGCAGTATGGCTTCCTTAATTTCAACTCATTTAACCTTGACGAGTATGAACATTATGAAGTAAGTTTTCAACTTTTATTCGTTTTGCTTACAGTAGTAATATTCTTGTTTTTAAAAATTGTGAATGATTTAGATGTGTATAGAGTAAGTCTTTATCATCTTATTGCAGTCCCAGTTCTTAGTGAGGATTCCTTTATCGATGCATCCTTCCAGAGTGAATGAGTGTGCTCCTGGGCTTTTTTCTTTAATTTTAGTTTAATTTTTTTTTAGTATTGATGATTTTCATATAATGCTTAAATGGGATAATGTTTATAAAAACCTTAGCATAGGATCAGATGATATGAATAAATAGTCATGATACATCTAATTATTTCTGGAAAGTATGTTTTTATAATAACTGTTTATGTGAAGTCGAAACACTTCTGGTTGCAAATTACAGAAAGTAAACACATATGGCTTAAATAAAAAAGGGATAATTTATTGATTTACATGAATAAAAAGGCCAGGAGCAAGTGTGCCTTCATGCACAGTCAGATTCAGGTGCTCAGGTACTTCAGAAATTGGGCTGAGCTGGCTTTGTCCCAGGCCAGCCCTCAGCAGTGACAAAGATGGCCACCAGCAGCTTTGGTTGGCCTGTTTGGCATACTCAGCAGAAAAAAGCATTCATAGCTCCAGAAGAAGACCCACAAAGTCTTCTCCTTGTCCTGCCTTAGATCATGTCCCTAGCCCTCAACCAAGCTATGTTCCTGGTTGAGTTTGGCGGGTACGTGGGTGTAGAATACTCTAGCCATCCCAGGAGCTGGAGTGCTGGGGTCAGCCCTATCAAATCACTCAGAAAAAAAAGAGAGAGAGAGAGTCCAGGCAGGCAAAACCACAGATGTGTTTTACACTTTTTATTGCAATGTTTTGTTTTTAAAAAAAAAAACAACGTAATTTGATTCTACCATTTATTTCACTCTCCAAATAGCTAAGAAGTAAGATGCTTATGCTAAAGGTCTTTTTTGACCAAGATTGCTTGTGGGTCTTATCTTTTTTATCCTACTATAGTTATCTTGAGCAGACATTGTCACTAATAATGTAGTGATTCCGCAGACAGCACTTTATGCAGTAGTATCACATAACTATTCCTTCACAGTCAATTTCTAATTATTTTAAACTCTTTGGCATAAGAGTTTAAAATATTTTATTGGTAAGTAGAGTTTATAGTTATGTTTAGTCATTACTGTGATGTACCAAAAATGTAAAATAATTGTGTTTCATTAAGGCCCACCCTATATTTAGAAATATATTGCTATTTACTCTTCTATAATAGCAATATATTTCTAAAGTATAATATGTATTTAATTACCGTCTCACACTACTGACTGTAACTTAATTATTACCATTTTTGGGGTGCTTGTTCTTATAAAATTAAACATTTAAAATAAAATATACTTTCTTAATGTAAGCAAAACTATTAAAAACACCATTTGGTGTTTTTTCAGTGTTAGCGCACTTAATCCTCTGTGTTACTAAGGAGTAATATCAGTACTAATTAGCTTCTCTCTTACTAATGCAGAAATTGCAGTATTTGCTGGGAGTAGCAAAGTCACCCACAAATGTTGTTTGCTGTCAATAAAATTGCATTGAGACACAGGGAACTGTTTAGGTAGCTATAGACCATGGGTAGCTCACAGACTGGTTCGTTTAGTCTCCACAGTATATTTAGAAATTTTGGATTAGTGTATCATTGATTCCATGATGCCCACTTTTCCCTATATTAACTTCTCTGAATTCAGGATGCGTTTTATAATCTATGATGCCTGTGCGTAACTGGAGTCTAACTACAGGTTTCTTGTTAAGAACTCCAGAATTCTGGTTTCACCTAAAAATCGGAACATCTGGCAACACTTGCCCTCATTCCTGTATAGACCTTTTAGAAGGGGACATGGGCTCACCAGTTCTCCTCTCTGATAATTAAGTCAAGTAAATTGGTTTTGGGTTACTTGCCTGGCCTGTAGATGTTCAAGGTGTTCTTGATTTATTTCTTACTTTTGTTCTTAGGTACACATATTCATACCCTAATTACAAAGTAAATTGATCTTATTTTTATCATTCATTCTCTTCTCCACTATCAAGTATCTCCTACTTTGTGTAACCATTTCTATTATTGTTAAGTTTGAACTATATTTATCTTATAATAATTGTTATGGTAACTCAACCCAAAGGATTTAATAATAGGAAGTAAAGTGTTTTAAATTTCAGTTCATGTTGACCCTTTTTTTTTTTAGAAACATATTGTCATCTCAGCATACTTGTAATTTCAAATTTCCTGGTGGTTTAGTTAAAATTTGTCATTGACCATCTTATTAAATAAATAGCTAGCAAAATGATGGGAAGATGACTCTACAAATAAAAAGTAAATATCAAGAAGCCAGGAGCCTAAATAGATATTTTTTTCTCCTTTGTTTAACGAGTCAAGATTGCTCGTCTTGGAAGCCATTTAGTCATTCAGGAAAACAAGGAAGTTTCCAGATCCCGCATAACGGAAACGTTTGCTTTTGTATTAATTAGCAGCAACTATATGAATATTTACTTGGATAAAATAACCAGAGTACTTAGGTATATTTTGGACAGCAGCAGTTAGGTCTATTTTCCAAAGGCTCACTACTCCAGCAAAGAAATACTGTTAAGAGAAGTGATTGGGACCAGGAACAGTTAACTATTCTCTGGGAATATTCATAGCAGGCTAAATCTCAGTATCCTGTTTCATGGTCATTTATAAACAGCTTCTGTGCTAAAGCAAGTGGATTTGAAGTTCTGCATACACTTAGTATTGAGAAGGGGTGTAGAGAGAGGAGAGTAAGTCTGAAAATGAATTGTGCTGGTCTTCCCTTTGCAGAAAGCAGAAAATGGAGATTTAAATTGGATAATACCAGACCGTTTTATTGCCTTCTGTGGACCTCATTCAAGAACCAGACTTGAAAGTGGTATGCAAAAATATGGGACCAGTATAATTTTGTTATTGAAAGTATCTATCCTGTATTTTCTTTTGCAACAGGCCTAAGAGTTAAACTAAGCTTGGTCATCTTAATTAAGTATGTGCAATCATTTCAATATACCATTCTGCCTGGATTTTCACTTTTTAAATTTATTTTCTTACAGTTATAATCAAATTGGTATTCAATTTCCAGGCTAGACACTGTTTCCATACAAATACAGGTGAAATTGTTATCCATTGTTTTCCTTCTGCATTTTACAAAATATGATAATTTCTTTATGTAGGTTACCACCAACATTCTCCTGAAGCTTATATTCCTTATTTTAAGAATCACAACGTTACTACCATTATTCGTCTGAATAAAAGGATGTATAATGCCAAACACTTTACGAATGCTGGTTTCGATCACTATGATCTTTTCTTTGCGGATGGCAGCACCCCTACGGATGCCATCGTCAAAGAATTTTTGGATATTTGTGAAAATGCCGAGGGTGCCATTGCAGTACATTGTAAAGGTATGTTTCTAGGGTTGATTTTAAAAAAAATGGTTGACTTACATGTATATATGTGTGGGCATGTATGTATATATGTGTCGAAATGCCATACTCATTTAGATTATATACGAAGAGACATGAAGCTGCCTTTGTTTTTAAAGAATACTTTTTTTTTAATAAGTTGCTTTTTTCTTAAAACTACTTTGTTGAGGTGTGATTGACATATAAAGAATGCTTTTAAAACCTTAATTTCACATGAAAAGCATAGTAAGTTAAATTGTATTCATAGGTAACCCTACAAAGGCTTAACGCATTGAAATGCATTCATTTATTCATCAAATATCTATTCAGTGCCTATTGTTTGGTAGATTCTAGGATATGCCAATGAGTAGAGCAGACTCCAAGAGTTTGTCTTTGTGAAGTTTATATTCTAACAAATTGCTGTTTTTAGCCACTTGAACAATGCCTGACACTTACTGAATGTTGAATGAATGAATGAATGAATGAATGTAATAATACATTGTATGAATGTGGTCGGATTTATTTAATTTTTCTCCTCTTGTTAGATAGTTGATTCAGAAGAATTATCCAGCCATAAGTGTCAATACTGCTGAGGTTGAGAAACCTTGAAGTTGACTGATGAGCAGTTAAAAACCTGAAAAGGGTTTAGTATGATTAGATCTTTGTTTTGGGAAGAAAAATGATGACAGTGTGAAAATTGGATTATCCAGTGAGACACGAGATTCATTAGGGAGTGTATTAATTTGCTCGGAATACCAGAACAGAATACCACAGACTGTGTGGCTTAAACAGCAAATTTATTTCTCACAGTTTTAGAGGCTAGAAATCCCAGATTAGGATGCTGGCAGGGTTGGTTTCTGGAGAAGCCTCTTCCTGACTTGCAGACAATGTCCTTCTCTTTGTCTTCTGTGTATACTCATTCCTGGTGTCTCTTCTTCTTATAAGAACACTAATCCTATAGGATTAAGTGCCTCCCCCACCATGATCTTATTTAGCCATGATCTTATTTAACTGTAATTACCTCCATAAAGTCCTTTTCCAGAGACTATCATTTTGGGAGATAGGACTTCAACATATGGATTGAGGCGGAGGGGTGGGGGGGCGGGGAACATAATTCAGTCCATAACATTCTGTTCTCTGGTCACCCAGTATTCATGTCCTCACATGTAAAATACATTCACCCCACCCAACAACCCCCAGAGTCTTAAACCATTCCAGCATCAGTTCCAACTCCAAAGTCTCATCTAAATATCCTCTGAATCAACTACGGCCTTGCCAGTCTGAACACGCCTGATCTTGTCTAATCTTGGAAGCTAAGCTGAGTCGGGCCTGGTTAGTACTTGGACGGGAGACCACCTAGGAAGACCAGTTGCTGTAGACTTCAAAAAAAAAAACAGTCCTTTAAATCAGATGTGGGTAACACTTCGGGTACAATTCATCCTGAAGCAAAATTCCTCCCCTCTGTGAACCTATGAAAGCAGACAGGTTTTGTGCTTCCAAAATACAGTAGTAGGACAAACATAAGATAGACATCCCATTTCAAATGAGAGAAATTGGAAAGAAGAAATGGGTGACAGGTCCCAAGCAAGTCCAAAGCCTAGCAAAGTAAATGCCATGAGATATTCAGGCTCGAGAATAATGCTCTGGCTCCATTCTCTGTCCTTCTGGCCTGCTGGGGAGGCGGTCTCATCTCCTTGGCCCCAGTTGGCAGCTTAGCTTCTGAACTCATCGACTGTGGTCACCTGGTCCACTGAAACTACAGAGGCAGCCTCACCCTATGAAACCTAGTGATAGACAGCCCTGTCCCATGGACTGGTGGTGATGGTGGTGGTGGTGGTGGTGATGATGGTGGTGGCGGCAGTCTTATTGATCTTTGTATTACCCTCAGGGTCATGCTTCCCTTTTCTTGAAGGATGAGACATGTTTGCAGCCAAGAAGCTTTGATGCCCGGTACTATAGCTCAGAAATCTGAAAGCTGTCCTTTATTTCATCCTGTGGCTGTCTCCTTATTCTAAACTGTCTGCTGGTATAATCCCATCAGTATTTCTGGCTTCTGCTGATTATATCCATGTGTAACATCTTTATGAAATTGCTTGTCCAACCATACCTTTGATGTTGTCTTCAAAACACGCTTTCTCATTTTTTTTTGCAATATGATAGACCTAGAATTTTCAGTGTTCAGTTTCTGGTTCCTTTTTGGTGAAAAAATTTTTCTTGCATTATCTCTGTCCCCTCATATTTTACTGTAATCAGTAAGGAGAAACCAGGCTGCACCTTCAATTCTTTGCTTACAGATCTCCTTTGCCAAATATCCAAGGTCATCACCCACAAATTTTGCTTTCCACAAAACTTGAGAACACAATTCAGCCAGGTTTTTTGCCACGTTCAAACAAGGATTGCCTTTCCTCTAGTTTCCAATAACATCTTCCTCATTTCCATCTGTATCTGCACCAAAATCAGTATTAACATCCATATTCCTGCTAGCAGTCTTTTCAGGGCAATCTAGGTTCTTTCTACATGAGCCTTAAAACACTTGCAGCCTTTACAATTCCAGTTACAAAGCCACTAACGCATTTTTATCTGTTACAATAGCACACCACTTCAGGGTACCAAAATCTGTATTAGGGTATCCAGAGAATAAGAACCAATAGGATGTGTAGTATACATGGAAGGAGATTTATTATAAGGAATTGGCTCACACGAATATGGAGGCTGACGAGTACAAAATCTACAGTGTGGGCTGGCAGGCAGGAGACCCAGAAGAGTCAATGATGCCATTGAAGTCTGGAAGTAATCTGCTAGAGAATTTCCTCTCTATCCGAGAGGCCGGTCTTTTTGTTCTGTTCACATTGTCACCTGATTGAACTAGGCTCACTCACATTATGAAGGATAATCTATCTGTTTATTCAAAAATCCACCAGTCTCACCCAAATACACCTGCCAGGTTGATGCATAAAATTAACAATCATAGGAAATAGTGATAGTTGTCTAGATGAGAGTAAAGGAGGATAGCAGGAATAGAGTAAAAAAAAAAAAAGAAATCCCCATGAAAGTGGGTACGAGAGTAGGAAAAGCTGTTGGATGAGGGAGAACGATTTGGAAGATTTTAAGCCTGTGCTTTTGGAAACATGACTGTACCAATAATAGAACACATAGAGTAGAAAACACTGCACTTCCTGAGAATCTTTGCTAAGTGATTTTCAATCTTGGCTATACATAGAATTATCTGGGGGATTTTAGAAATCTCTGCGTCCAGGCTACATCACATACTAATTAAATCAGAATTTGGGAGGTTGGAGCCAGATGATTGCAGTGTGCATCCAAACTTGATAACCACTGTTGAGGGAAGCAAAATCATGCCAGGCCTTTTTAAAAAAAATTGTACCCGTCCAACAAAATTCGGAGTACATGAGACCAGGTCTGATTGGTTTGTTTCGTTTTCTAGCGGGCCTTGGACGAACGGGCACTCTGATAGCCTGCTACATTATGAAGCATTACAGAATGGCAGCAGCTGAGACTATTGCTTGGATCAGAATTTGTAGACCTGGCTCAGTGATTGGGCCTCAACAACAATTTTTGGTGATGTAAGTAGATGGCGATGTAGGTAATTCCTCAGGGAACACCCGGTTCTGGAAAATGGTTAGAAATAGAATTTTTCTTAGTCTCTAGTAACAGTAGATAGTCTAGTAAGAGAAAGTTATTCATATGTATCCTTCTGGCAAAGTCTATTTTGATGTTATTTAAATGTTCTAACAGGAAACAAGCAAGTCTCTGGTTGGAAGGTGATTATTTTCGTCAAAAGTTAAGGGGTCCGGAGAATGTAAAACACAGAGCAGCTGTCTCAAAACTCCTCATGGCTGTTGATGACATTTCAATCAATGGGGTCGAGAATCAAGACAAGCAAGAACCTGAACTGGTAATCGAACCATCCCCATCATGCTGTTATTGCTTTAAATGCTGCTGAGAACCAATTAGGGCATGGAGAAAATTGTAGATAAAAATAATAAAGCACATTTTGAGGGATTATCGTCACACTTTTTTTTATACTTATAGCCCTCTCTAGAAACTTTTTACTTGAAATAGTTAAAACAAGGTTATGTGCCCATAAAACTGAAGTATTTTTTTACTCACTAGGCACTGGTGGAAGAAAGAGGTATGTGGAGTAAGCTCTTTAGTGACACCCCCCTACCCCCACTCTCACACACGCACACACACACACACACACACACACACACACACACACACACACACACCTTTTTCCATTTCATGACAGCTGATGTAGGTAACCAGTCATTCTCAAATGAAGAACTTTGTAGAACCCAGAGTTTAGGGGGTAGCTGTACTATATTCAGTGGTGGTAAGTAGATGGTGAAATTTAAAAAAGAATGTTTTCAATATTGAAAAGTCATTGTGCCTCTTCACTGTCAATATGTTTTATAACCAGAGTGTTATTGGTTTTTGTGTTTGTGAAAGTCAGTGTTTGGTTGTCTTGAAATGTGACTTGTAGCTTTATTTTGAAAGCAGCAAAATATTTTAGCGTTCAGCAGAAAGTTGAAGTCTATGTTTGTGTGTGTCTCTATGGATAAATGTAACTGCTATGCTTTATTGCATTAATAAGTGCAATTTAAATCATTAGCTCAGTGTTTTTTTACTTATACAGTTCAGTGATGACGATGAAATCAGTGGAGTGACACAAGGTGATAGACTTCGGACTCTGAAAAGCAGAAGACAATCAAAAACAAATGCTGTTCCCCTCACGTGAGTCTGGTTTCCTTTGTGTGGTTGATGTTATTTAATATGTGTATGAGTTCTTTCATGAGCATATTTTCCTGTACATTTTTCTCCATTGTTGCGTGCCCATTGTGCTACTTTGAAATGATTATCTACATTATTTTAAATCTAGGGATGTTGTCTAAGAATCTCTGGGCTATCCTTTGGTTATTTCCATTTTCTGTTGTGACCTCACTAGCCTGAATAGATAGGAAAGCAATATTAGGAATGCTTTTTCTCCATGGATAATCACCATGTGAGATCCTCATGAGAGTGGTAGCAGATGTAAACCACAGAATAACAGATTTGCCCATAATTATTAAAAATCGTGAATTTATTTAAACTCACTACCGTAATACAGGTAATTTGTTTTAATATGGTAGGCTTTAATCAGTATGACATGGTGGCTTAATGTCATTATATTATTTTAGGGCAGCAGTGCATTAGATTAAACTATATTTTTGTATTAACTTTTTGTTCAAGGAATTATTTTCAAGTTCTAGAAGATTTAACGTGGGAATAGAAAGTTTTATAGTTACTGAGTGTGTGTATGTCCACTTCTACTTGCTTTAAGTAAGTGGTAGTTTGGATTCAATCTCATGGAACGTCCAGGATTGTTTAAAAATATATATATATATATAACTTTTTTTATAGGGTATTGTTTAGTAGATGCTTCCACTTATGACCTTAAATGCCTTCCTTCTAATAACCTCCCTTTTCATTACGGGGAACCACATTTTCAACGTGCGTGTGCGCGTGCGCGCGCGTGTGTGTGTGTGTGAATGAGTGATGGAGATAAATCATTTTATTCGATAAGTATCTTGCGATATAGTGAGGAACTAATCACCTAATAAGTATTGGTAGCAGAGAACAGGCTTCCTTTTTTAATTAAAAGTGGTTCTTCACTGGTATCTCCTCATAATCTTAAATTCTAAAGTAGAATTACACATAAGGCATGGGCCGCTGCCTTGGGAGGTTCCAAAAGAAAAGATCCAAAGAAAAGAATCGAGCTTCCCAATATAAAGTGAATAAAAGGCGTTAGTATTGATTATCTTTGCAATGGTGCTTCAGTCAACTAGAATGCTTTAAGGCTGGTGCATTTTATATAACCTGTTTAATTCCAAGTGCCATTTTGTTTTTAATTTCATTGAAAGTCCTTATTTAAAGCCTTAATGGTTATTTTTATTTAGAAACATTATACCCTTTCCAGATAATTATTCTGAAGCCATTTTAGATACGATGAAGGAAAAGGGCAGTGCCCTAGATCAGTACTTCTCAAACTTCACTGTGCGTTTGAGTCTCCTGGGAGAGGTGGTTAAAATGCAGAGTATGGTCAGTGGATCTGGGGTCCAGTCTAAAATTATGCATTTCTAGCAAGCTTCCAGGTGTTAGAGAAGCTGCTGGTCCAGGGACCATACTTTGTATTGTAAGCCCTAAAAAATGCATGATTTTGTGTGTTGCTTTTCATTGTGCTCAGCTTTTTTCACTTGTTTTTAAGAATCTGAAGCATTATTAATCTGAAGTTTATTTCTCAATAGCTGATTGCCTTCTGTTCAGAAGTCAAGTTGGGAGTTGGGATGGGAATTCTGCCTAGTCAAAAGTTTTTGTTAAATAAGACATATAGGAGATTTCCTTGTCACTGAGTGTGCTACCTTGTGAATGTGTTTTCTAGAGTTCAAATCACTTGATGTTCTTTTCTAGGAAAGTTGAGGTTATAATTGTCTCTTTCACAGCTGATTGGTTCACGGTAATATAAAAGTAAATGATAAATGAAAACTTAAATTCTAAGTATTATGGGAAACCAGAAGGTGACACTAGATGCCATTACATTCATCTTGATATGTGAGGTTCCTGGGTGAAAATTGAATGTGATCAATGATAGTTGAATGAAATTAACTAGCAAAGACTTGGGGAGGAGAGACCAGCCTCAGTGCTATCATTGTTCAGTTATTTGGTTACACCCCTCCATCCCCCTAAAAGCAATGAAGGACATAGGCCTTTCTCTCTGAAGCACTCTTGGCATAAATTAAAACCAAGTAAAATGGTGAAAGTTAAAAAAAAATATTACAAAAAACACCCCACTAGTTTAGGATCCCCTTTAATTGTAATGGTAATCCTAAAAATAATAGAATAACTCCTAAACTGTTCCCCTTCCATATACAAAATTAACAAACTTTTAGGCCACGCTTTTAAAGGAAAAGGCAAAATGCTTAAGTTCTTCTAAGCTCTTAATTATGTGTAAAGACCCCAGGGGGAGATTAGGTTAGTCCCAGCATATTCCCCCTCCTCTTTTTTCAAACTCTTTGCTGTTACAATCATCTTTTTTGCTCTCATTTGTAGCTTTATTGGCCCTAGAAAAGGAGGTCAGTTGGAGATTTTCTTTCTCTCTCAAGTCTTTGTTGTTATTTTAGAAATAAAAGTCTCCTGAGAGAGAAAGTTATCAACAGCAGTTTGGATTGAGAAATGTAAATTCAATGTCTGCCTATCACCACGGGCAAGTTATTTTTCTTCACTATTGGTACTTAGAGCCAAATGAAAATACTTGTAATAAGGAAAGTTAGTGAAAAATATGTAAGTACTGGTGATTCTTAAGAGAAAGTTCTAGTACATAAAATATCATTCCCATTATTGCTTTCTAGTTTACAGTCACTATTTTGAGAGAGTTAGAGTAGTTAGAAATTGTAATAGTCATTTTCTCAGAAAGCCTGTGTGTTCCGGACTTCCATGAAGACAGCAAATCGTGTAGCACCATGACCTCGAAGTGTGATCATCAGGAATGATGGCAAGTATATTGTCTGTGCTCAGAAAGATTTGGTAAATTTTATAACTTCATCCATGCTGCCTATCTTTCTGCATACCGATCATTTCTGCTAGGTTTTTTATGGTTAAATGAACTGCTTCATGAAGAATGGAAGTATGTCTTTCATAGGAATAGGTAAAAATATAATTGGCCTTGAAAATCCTTTCAATCTCCCTTAACAGTACAGTGTAGATGGGTATGTTTTTCATCCTCAGAAAATAATTCCGTGCCATGAGCTTTTCTAAAGGAACAAATTAAAATCTGTAATGTGGACACCTGGATATTCAGACCATTCTGCCTTTAAGATCAATTAAAGAAATTACAGCAAATGAAAATTCGATTGTGTAGAGAGTTCTGTAGTGTTCCAAGGTCATTTATTACTTTCTATGTAAATAGTAAGCCCCTGTAATCTTAACGTATAATAGTAGGGTTTTTTGTTTTGTTTTGTGGAGGAGTAAATGAGATTTGATTTCAGGCCCACCCTTTAGTGTAATCCCCTGTCACCATATAGGATGCCTGTGCCTGTCACATAGTGTTCAGTGATTAAGGTGACAAAGACAATGATAAAGATGGCATCGTAAGCCAGGTCGAGCATTTCTGACTTGATCAGCCCCATACTTGGCACAAAACGGATGCTCATTGGAGCCTTTGTGTTTGGTCACAGACGTTTCTGGGCGACCATTTGGAAGTGTAGTAGTTGGAAGGAGTTACTGCCCTTCCAGCTACAAGGAGGGTTCCATTCTCGCAGTTGGAAACTAGACGAGTTTGGGTGCATGAGGAAAATAACTGAGGAAATATACATAGTCCAACAGGTCCTCACATAACATCATTTCCTTATAACGTTAATGAGATGCCATAGGAAATTAACTCTTGTTAACATCAATTAGCCTATGGTCAGATTGGTTTTGTTCTAGCTACAGTGTATTGCTTAAAGTCCCAGAACCATCAAAGATGTTGAATGAGAACTTAATTGTATTAATACATAAGGGAAATTTCCCTCATTTTGTGTTGCCTGGGGTTGGCTATACTTCTATAATCCTTGTTTTCAAAATATGCAGTTTGCCTAAACTCATGGATGAATACAGTTTATGGCTCTATTGAAACGAGATCAATTCTGCTGTGCTGTGTCCATTTATAATTGTGCCTCCTAGGGGTTGGTTATTAGTGATCAGTCCAGAGTTTGTTTTTGTTTGTTTGTTTTTTGGTTGGTTGGCTTTGCCTCCTTTTTCTCCCTGGTTTGGTTTAGTTTTATGTGTGTGCATATCTTGTGCTTTTTGAAGAATTTTAATCTGATAACAACTCTGATTTTAGTATTTTACAATTAAATTAACATGGGGGCGGTTATCCAACTGGAGATTAAGGTCTAATTTTTTGTTACCAAATATCAAATAAGTTAAATACTGAAGACGGCATTTTTCCCCCGACATAAAATGACAAAACTTTCTCCTTGTTTCTCATCCCTTTGCATCACAGGGTGTTTAAAATTCACACGTGGCTTTATTTATTTATTATTTTATATTATTTTGGCTTCCCAAATTTGAACATCTGTTCTTTCCCCTTCACCCCTTTCCAGATGTCCCCTAGCTGTGCTGACCTCTGCACTGTGTAGTGTTGTCATCTGGTGGATTGTTTGTGACTACATTCTTCCCATCCTGCTATTCTGTCTCGATGGTTTAAGAACACAGTAGCCATCAGGACCCTTTGACAAATAGCTGCTGTGTAAGTGCCCCATTCCATTTCTCTACTAGAGCTCACCTCTGGTGTCCAGTGTTTTTCTCATGATGCATGTTTTTCTCACTGTCAGCTCTCCTAGCTTTGTTGATTTGCCTTGGTTTGCCTTTTTCAATAGTTATTTTCCTTAAACTTCTCAGTTAATGGGGTGGTGGCAGGGAGGGAGGTCTTCACTATTCTTTTCATACAAGGGATGTTAAAAACAACACACTTTGTTTTAAAGTTGTACTTAAGCTTAACAGATTTTTTGAAATAGCAGTTTAAAAAGTCAGGGAACTAGCTGCTTTTCCCCATCAAAAATACTTAGTTTGGGTTAGTTTTCTTTCAATCACTTGACTGTACAGCTTTCCTCTAGTTTTTTCTGTAGTAAATATCTTTAGTATGTCCTTTCCAATCTAGCAAAAATAATTTTCCCACTGATTTTCTGTTATTCGTAAAGATTTGACTTTGTAGCCAGGAAGTCTAGTGAACACTGAATCCTGTTTCACCTCTGATTCTGCCATTGTCCACAGTGTGCTCCCAGCAGATAGCTGCTTCCCTAATAAGTCTTCTGTTTTGAGTTTGCAGGGTTTTCTCCTCTACTTGTTTCCCTTCTCCCTTACAGTTAAGTACAATTTTCAAAACTTGATGTAAAACAAAAATAGGAAAGCAGAGATGACTGGAGTCCTTTGCTCATATTTGTATTTCTGCCTCACCTCATCATTCCGAACTCCCTCCCGCTTTCCTTCTTTCCCAAAAGTAACCAGATGCCTTTATTAGGTTAATATAGATGTGTTCTCTTGATATCTTTCATCATTAAATAATACCTTCACAGTGGAGAGACTTCTTTTCTGCAGAAGAATATGGCAAGAAGCTTAACCAGGGAACATCCAGAGTTAAGACCAAGAGCACAGAAAGGAGGGTGTACCCGGTGAGGCTGCGGTTGACCACTACCCTCTCATGTCTCGCCTGCATTCTTTTTTCGCTGAAATTTTTTCTTTAGCTCATGTTTCAAGAACTTCTTTCGTTCCAACTTGGACTTAGGACTTATAGAGAAATACAAAAGTTTCTTCTAGGATCTCCTCCAAAGTAAAATTCCATGGCAACCAACTTTAATGCTTTGTGGTTTCACTGAGTGTCTTCAGATGGCTAGAAAAGATTGTGAAATCTAGCAGACGCCATCTTTTCAGAATTAAGGAAAAGCTGCTTACCATGTTTTTGTATTTATGACATTTCCTTAAATATTAAATACAAACTTCTTATCGCACAGGCAGAGATGCTGCATTTCTGATGATTATCCTTTTAGGTGTTTTTTTTTTCCTTTACTTCTCTTGGTAAACTGAGGTTTTTACATATTCTGACTGAAGGGCATCACATGCTACATAACTTTATACTTCTCAAACTATTCCCAGTAGCAAAGTTATCTCAAATAGGTCGAATTCTAAAAGGGTGGAGTTGCTAATAATACTTAGGTGCTTCATGATTGTATTATTTTTCCCAGGGTAAGTTTTAAATGGACTCCATCAGGCTCTTCTTTTTACTATTCTATGTGAGATATAACCTTTTTTTGTTGTTGTTATTACTGACATGTACCATTGCATTAGACCCACAGCAGAGTATTCAAGTTAGCCTGACTGATTCATTTGGAATTATGGGCACAAAACCTTTCAGCAGTAACAATGATGTAAAGAGGTTTAATCCTTGTAGTTTTTTGAGGCGATTACTCATGGGCACTGTTGTTGGTATTCATCTCTGTTGGCCGATGATGTAGCATCACCTAATATAGGCTGTTATGTGGCTTGCCTGGAGAACTCAACTATAATGACACCTCAACTATGTGTCAAACTCATAGTGGGGAAGGCAAGTCCGGAGGCTGCAAGGGCCTCAGTCTCATCATTTTGAAAGCTTGTTTTGTATCACTGGTTGACAACCAGTGTAGTCACACTGATGGATTCTTTTCTTGAAATTAAACATTTGCGTTCAAAGCATTTCGTGACTTGATAAGTGAGAGACCTGGCTTTTCAATTTTTGCTTTGCCGTATGTCTCAAGTTGCAGATAACATGTGTCCAGTATTTGAAAATACTGGGGTTCAGGAGATGCTGCAGAGAAAAAGGTGAATTGCAGTATGGGCAAGAGATAAAAGGTAGGATTGAAGATTCTGCCCAGGAAAGATGGAAAGGAGAAAATACATATGCCCAGTATTGCTCTGCAAAGCCATGTGATTGGCCTGGTTTGCAAGGCGGGAGGTAGTGCTTTCCCACTTGCCCAATGGCAAAGCGAATGCTTCACATGTTGCCAGCTGATCCCACCTTATCAGGTGTTGCTTGTAAGATGTCACAGGTGCTAAGTTTCTGGGTGTTTGCCACTTTATTGGTGCATAACCTACAGATGTAATAACTGCTCTATTGTTAATGCAAATAACTGATGACCTGAATCTTTATTGGTGTGATTAATGCATTCCAAATGTCAATCATGCTCTTATTTTCAAAGTTCCACGTAGATTATTAGCTATTAATATTATATTGCTAGACATTTTTATTTACACTAATTTTATAGATACTTAAGCATACTTTAAAAAAGATGTTCTGTCAGTCTAAAATTTTATTTAGTAGTAATTTCTTATCTGGAATAGAATTTAAACATGTCGGTAATCGTTAATTTAAGAAATAAGGACTTAAATTTCCTAAGCAGGAAATGTATTGGCTCTTGTTTTTCCTCATATTAATGATTTTACAAGTGTGGCTGTTGTCTGTACTTTTGGCCATAAGTGGCTTCATTTGAAATAGGTATGATAGTTCAAAAAAAAGCCAACAGGAGTCTCATTTTCTCTATTTGTCGAACTGGAGATGAAAACCCTGAGCCTTGCCTTTCAGGGGAAAGGCTTCAGGACATAGTAGCAGCCCTGCGGTGGGCCCGGGCTTCTGAAATGGCAGTGGAAGCTTCTCTGGCGGTTTTTGTTATCATTTTACTTTATGTCGTTTTACTTTATGAAAAATTCTAGATTCGGATCTTTACCAGGGACTACTAAATATCTCATTCTCACTTTATATAATCAGAATTTGAAAATAAATACTTTATTTCAGAGGTAGAATTCATACGCCAGGGCTGTGGTGTCTTCTTTGATCATACAGCTGTGTCTGAATATACTTTTTCTATTTTGTTAGTACAGTCAACATTTAGGACGATAAAACTTTATGAGAAATTCTGAGTCACGCATTGGCTCATTTAACTAGGATCAGTTTCCCTCAGTGAGATGGAAGGCCTGTTTTCATAAGGCTTTCAGAAATATTACGTACATGGATAAAGTGAAACAGGTGGGAGAGCTGCAGCTCCCTTTGCCCTCCCACGCTCTCCCCCAAACAGCTTGAAAACCACTGGCCTCCCGACATCTGCTCTAGTATAGTAACAACCCACTGGTTTTTTAGTGATGAGAAGTTAGCATTATACTAAATGTTGAATATGCTGTGGTTTGAGTAATACTGAGATTATAGGAATTTACTAATCTGTACCTCATTTTAAGGACCTGGCTTTGGTTATTAACTATAACACTGTGGTAATTGCAAGCATAGTAGGTAGGACTCCTAGTTTATCGCAATGGTTTCTTTTTACTCTTATGAGTTGGGTTCAAGTGAGTTATTATTGGTTATCTCACTTTTATGTTTGGATATGAGAGGAGGAAGCTTTTTAAAGTCTGTTTTCTCTCACAGATAAGTGAAAATTGAGAATGTATAAATGTGTGTGCATACAGTTCAGTGTTCTGGCCATTATCTCTTGAAAAAAGGAATTGCATATGAAATCTTTTGAGGCGATCTTTTTGATGTTTTTTGCTATTTTCCCTGTGACAATTGAATGAGGGGTTTAAAAACACCTTCCACTTAAGAACCGAGTATTCTTTGTGGGCTTAAGCTCAGGGTGTTTTTTCTGGTTCATGAATTTACCTCCTGGGCAGTTTACTCCCATCAGCATTAGTTCTTTGAGATTTTCAGAGTTTAATTAAATCAAATTTCATTTCACAGAATTTAAGCAGTTTCGCTTTCTTGTTAATGGTAATTGGTGATTTAGTAAGTAGTTATAATCGACAAAACTCAAATTTTGTTTGAACATATTTTCAAATTTTGAAATGTTATATAAAATTGTTATTGACTCAGTGTTTATTGCCCATACCCTCGGCTCTGAGGAATGAGTGTTGTACAGATATTTATATTCACATTCTTCACAATTTGGGGGCTTTAAATGACTTCTTGTTTTCGTGACTAGAATTCTGAGAATCTACTTTTACTTTTGGACACAAAAGATTTGTTTTACTGATTGATTTCTTTGGTGCGGGGAATTGCTAAAAATGCCAGGTCATTTGTTTTCCAAAACCAAAGTACTCCGATTATCTTTGTGTATAACCTTCATAAGGAAATGAGATGCTTCATTTCAAAAGACTTTGGTGTAAAAACGTGTTTCAGTTTTTTGGCAAATGTGTTTATGGAAAATCCTATCAATTCACAGTAAAATAATTTGCACTAAAGTGCAAAAATGCTTTCTTCTGTCAAGTATTTGAAAATTGTTTCAGTGAATATAATCTTATTTTTTTCCAACCGTTTCCAGAGTAATTCTTCAGTCAAGTGTTCAGAGCTGTAAAACATCTGAACCTAACATTTCTGGCAGTGCAGGCATTACTAAAAGAACCACCAGATCTGCTTCAAGAAAAAGCAGTTTTAAAAGGTGAGAAAAGAATCCTACTGTTCTGAAAAGTTCTAAGTGTTCGTTTTCCAGTTTAATCTTCTGGAGCTAGAAATGAAGATAGGAAAAAGCAGAGTTCCTATGATGGGAAATTAATCAAATGTGTTTGATTTGTTCATCATCTAAGAAAATTTATACCATTTTAACATAGGCTTTTTTTTCAGAGACAATTTCATGGTCTCTGAGTTATAATATGAGAAAGTTGAGAATGTTGTATATTAATATATAAAGTTCTTAATTAAGAATTTCCGAAACACTCTGTCAGTACTTGGAGGAGATCTTTCTGTGTATCACATATTGCATACATCATAATCGTTGGAGAATTTGCTGCAAATAAGTGTGACGGTGGAAATATGCAAACTTGAGTGAAGTTGCGATCCTTCTTTACCGAGGGATTGTCTTCTTGGCCACAGTCTACACACCCATCGGGGCTCATTCTTTCACTTAGAGCCCAGCATCTTTCACTTCGTTCATTAATATAGGCTTTGACAAGAAAATGGACATGTTTATGACCAAATCCATTACTCATTATTGTCTTTGGATGTTTGTCATGAACTGAAGGCAGACATTTTATTTTTAACATATTCTAAAAACGTCCCTTTTGAGGGAAGAGCAGAAAACCCACATACTGTCATCTCAGGAGTGGAAGGCAGGCACCTTTTTGTATTTGTGTATCTTTGCCTGGAGGTGGCAACCCGTGCAGTCCTGTAGAAGGTACCGCATTCATGGCACAGCGTATCTTTTATAATAGACCACAAGAGGCCTGAAGGTAACCTGAACCAGACTTTAAAACCTCCTTCACAAATTTCCTTGCTTCTTTTTATTTTTCCTACCCTCATATCATTGAGGTTTGTGCCTGAGCTGCCTATCTTCAGTGCTGAGTGAGTCTGATGCAGTCCCACAGCAGCCTGTGTCCTGAGGAACTCTGTGACAAACCCCCGAGAGGTCCGCGCATCTTGCTTTTTTAAGGAATTTTTCAGTTCTGCCATTTTTCCTTTTTGCTGATTCTTTCATACAATTTCACTACATACTTTTACATGTATGAGACTCCGATTGTGCCCCAGTATAAGTACTTACTCATGATCTTAAATTGAAAAAATTTTTATTAGAAAGGTATCAAATACTCATACTGATTCCATTTGAGAAGAATGTTAGAGAAAACCAAAAAGTCAAAGATTCAGGTATATTATAATGGAAAACCAGAATGTTATTTATAACAGAAAGAGGAAGTGATCTAAAGATTGATAAATTATTCCAAACGAATCCAGAGTCATGTTCTTAAAGAAAATTTAGTGATCTGGATAAATGCTTATAAAGCAATAAATGAAAAGAGCTACATGTAAAAATTATAACAGTTCTGATTGGTAGGGCATTTGGGGATTTTTCTTTTTATCATTTTCTTTCCCCACCCCCCTCAACATTTCTACAATAAATAAGGCAAAATGGGAATATTTTAACTTTGACACTTTTAGGTGAATTAAACTACTAAAACTTCAAATAAAATGCCTGCTGTTGGTGATAGGTAGACATGTTTTGAATGAACATATTCCTTTTAGGTACAGTTGGTGAGGCTTTCATTACAGTCAAGTGTGTCTTGCACATTTAATCTGCTTTCTGCTTTTTTGGATTGTGCTCTTCAGGTTTCAGGGATTCTAATAGATTACAGGAGCCGGTCGGGGTGTGCCCAGTCGTAACTTGTTCCTCTGAGGGGCGTGGCTGTGCGACAGTTTTTCCATCTGGGCCTTGTCTAGTCATCTAAACTTGTGCTTCTCAGCAGAGGTGGTTCCTGATTGCAGTGAGCATCTGCCTGAGGTCCCTGGACCGGATGCTCTGAGGGGTTAAAATCCAGTTCAGACCGAATATGCTTAACTAAATATTGAATCGGCCCAAAGCAGTTTCCAGGTGTTGGGGATAGTGCAGAAAAACAAAAAAGTCTTCTTTTAAATTTCTGAAATGGACTTTAAGATATTGGAGGGGCAAGGAAGTAAACCAGTGAGAGTCAACAGGGTTTCATAGTGCGTTTAACCATCCCCTTCCATACGGGGTCTCCTCCGCCTTTTTCAAGGCTTTGGCCTGTGTTCACATCACCTTGTGGGCCACCTATGGCTCACAAAAGACAAATAGATCGTGTACAGGTCCAACTTCCTGCTTCTATGAAATGATGGGAGTCAAGGCAGCCCAGCTGGAATCTGAAGCTTGTATCTTATCGAACAGTATTTTTGGAGGGGGAGGAAAGAATTAACACATTTATGCATAATCTGATTAAGGAAAAAATAATATGAGCTAAGATTATTGGATAATTTAAAAGTATTGAATAGAACTCTTTTCTTTAGACAACAATACAAAAAAAGTACAC